TAAGAGCACGTACAGATCGCCACACGCTGCCATCCAGGTGTAAAAGTATTAACCTCTGCATCCTGGAGGATTGCGTTGCTCACCAAGTTTGTCGAGAACGAGGGGAGGTGGAGACCTGACAGTGAACCGGACGGAACGGCCGGGCACGGGAGCACAGTAGAGGAGCGTGCAAGAACCAGGCCCCTAGAGGGGTCAGCCAGGGAAACTGCAACAGGCCTGGTGAGTGGTGTGCCTGTAGTACTTTCGCGAAAGAAGCAGCGACAAGCACCTGAGTCAAGCATGAAGGTGTGCAAGGCCTCAGCAGGTGCAGTACCAGAGAGTGCAGAATTACTAGCACCTAGAGCAGCAGCCTCTATACCAGGGTCATACGGCGCACACAAGTAGCAGTCACCCTCAACACTAGTAGACAGAGCATACATGCCAGCAATGATAGCATCAAAGTCTAGAGCAAAGATATCAACTCCACCCTTAAGTAGCTTAGCCCAGTGGGGCAGCTCATGCTCCACGCCCATCTCCTGGTGCCAAGCGTCATCTAGGCGAGAGAAACAGCGGTGCTGGGTGTGAAACTTCCCGCACGTCTGACCACCTCGGGGACTTGTGCGAATAACGTACGAGCAGCGACCACTACCACCACCCCTAGACGCCGTACGCTGAGCAAGCCACTCACGAAGCTGCTGGGGCGAGAGGGTCTCACGCGGACGCTGCTGCTACTGCAGCTGAACTGCGTCAGAGCGATCACCACCGCCACCGCTACCACCACTCCCGCCGCTGCCACTCCCGCCACCACTGCTCCCACTGCCACCACGACCACTGCCACCACCACCCCCGCTGCCGCCGCCACCTCCGCCTCCGACGCCCCCAATCGCTCCATCACTCCCACCGCCACCTCAGCCACCTCCGCCTCCCCAACCACCTCCACCACCACCCCCCCCGCCGCTACCCCAACCACCCTTGCCCCCCTTGCCCTTGCCGCTGCGGCGCTTCCCACTAGGAGCAGAAGCAGCACCGACCTCCTCAGCACCAAGGAAGTCGACAGCAGCAGCAGAGGCAACAGAGGGGGCGAGGGGGGAGGGGGAGCACCCCTCAAAGAAGGGCGTGCGAGGGGTGCCACGGGTAGCACCTACAGCGACTATGTTAGCCTCAGCTGCAAGAAGGTGCTTCCCTAGCAGGTCGATAGTGAGGTCTATAGGGGGGAGAGCGAGAAGGGTGTCCCGGACTGCACTAAGAGAGTCAGGGAGGCGTGTCACTATGAAGTGGAGAGTGATATAGATCGGGGGCTCGTTCTTGGGCAGGAACTCGGCAGGGAGGGCAGCACGGTAACGAGCGTCCATAGCGCAAAGGTGGGAGAGGAGATCATCTACAGTGGCGAAGGAGGACAGGTCAGGGAAAAGGTAGGGCAGGAAGAGGCGGCTAAGCGCTGCAGTGGCAGGGGAAGAGTAGCGGGCAACTACAGCGTCGTACAGGGCCTTAGCAGTCTTTGCCTGGTCAAAATGCTCGCATTCAGCTACTGGCAGATGGTTGCAAATGGCTAGGCGAGCAGCAGCATCACGGGTAAGCCAGTGCAAGCGAGTCGTCGCGTCAGCTGAGGCTAGTGAAGCAGAGGAGGCACCAGTCGCTAGATCATAGAGCGAAACACCGTCCCTAGCGTCGCTCAGTAGGTACAGCTGCAGGTCCTGGAGCCAGGTTTCGAATTTGGCTGGGCGGCCGTCAGGATCGAATGCGAGAATACGCAGAGTGGCCATAGTTTATTAGCTTAGGAGCAGGGCAGGGCAGAGGCAGAGTAAGGGCTGCAGAGGTTGGGGCGCGGGCTGCAAGGGGCTGCGCGCAGGGTGGGGCAGAGGCAGCGCGAGGGCTGCTGGGGCAGGGCGCGGGCTGCAAGGGGCTGCGCGCGGGGTGGGGAAGAGGCAGCGTTAGGGCTGCTGGGGCAGGGCGCGAACTGCAAGGGGCTGCGCACGAGGTGGGGCAGAGGTAGCGTGAGGGCTGCTGGGGCAGTGCGCGGGCTGTAAGGGGCTGCACGCGGGGTGGGGCAGAGGCAGCGCAAGGGCTGCTGGGGCAGGGCGTGGGCTGCAATGGCGGCGCACGGGGCAGGGCAGAGGCAGCGCAACGGCTGCGGGGGCTCGCGCGGGGCTGCAGAGGCAGCGCGCGGGGCAGCAAACGGCAGTGCGCGGGCTGCTGGGGCTGCGCGCGGTCGGCGAGGGCGGCGCTCAGGCTGCCGGCGCGGTGCGCGGGGCGCAATGGGCCGCGCGCGGGCGGCGAAGGCGGCGCGCGGGGCAGAGGGGCGGCGCGCGGGGCAGAGGGGCAGCGCGCGGGCTGCGAGTAGGCGACGCGCGGGCAGCAGGGGCGGCGCGCGGGAGTGCAGGGGCGGCGCGTGTGGGCGGTACAGGGAAGGGTAGAGCGTAGGGTAGAGCGTGGGGTAGCGCGGTAACCGGTGGGCCCTAAAAAATCGGTCCTACGGACCTACTGCTCTGATAGCATGTCAGAAACTTAGGCAAGAATGAGTGCATTGAAAGGAAATGTGGGTACAAGTACTAACCCTAGAACTGGGTTGTACCCTTTATGGGCTACCCCACTACAGCCTACACAGCACAAACATCATTATAGTTTGACAGCGCCTACAGTGGAGGTGCTTATAGTAGAGCATGAGGTCCCCTTCACTGAAATGGATGTGGAGTGGCATAGCTTGCGCAGCCTTGGGATTGTCGTGCAGTACACGGAAGTGGATTATGAGGGTTGGGAGATTGAAAAGGTTCGGGAGACTTCTGTGGAGGACGTTTATTGTATGTGGACACTAATGGCCCCTCCTTCCATCAACGCCCCAAACCTGCAAGCCCTCTCCTTGCCAAGTTTAGGGTGTGATGGACAGACCCTGGCAACCCAGAAACCAGGGCTGACGTTTCATATTAGGCCCCCCTGATTCCGGGGAAAAAATTTCCCCTCTATTATGAGTGCACATTTTTCAGATAGATGCTACCCTGATTGCTCAGGGTTGAAAAGTATGTAACTCTGATTGTTCAGGGTCGAAAATCGAAGATCAGAGTAGTAACGCGCCCTTTTTTACCGGGGAAAAAGACTCGCTCTGTGTTTTGCGCACACCTTATGCGTGCTAGTTTCCACCCTTTTAGTTTTAGAAAACAGTATTTATCCACACGTTTTAGCGCGGGGAAGAGACGAGCGATTTCGGTCAACCAAACATTTCGATTCGATACCACAGATGTGCCAAGTTTTTAATTCGCCGAGTACCTGAATGTCGTCAGCATCGCTGTGCGAAACGCTAAAAAATGTCTGGTAACTTCACGCAGACGCAATTACGACAGTAGAACGACCTGTTCATAGTGCAATGAAAGTATCATATATTGAGTGTACTCACCTGTCTGACATGCTGCTATCCGTCGCTCACGCGCTGGCTCATGCTGCTATCAATACGAAGGGGGATATCGGGAGGAAATTTCTAGGAAACTTCCTCCCGATACCCTCGCATTCAGGCTGCGTTCTGCGGCCGCATCAGAGCCTGATGCGCCCTAGGCTCGGCCTGATCCGCACATTGACAAATTGAGGTTCGGTAATGTCCAAATTGAAATTGGAAAATGGAGGTTCGGAAAATGGACACGCAGGTTCGGGAAATCGGAAATTTGAAATTGCAAATTTCGACATTCCCAATCTCGATCTCGATTCTCTGCGGATTTCCAGCTAGTTGAAGGGCTCGTCGAAGCAGGGAAGCATTTACCTCACGCCTTCCCCACGGGCATGAACTTTGCTGCCCGACTGCCCGACTTTGGCTTTGCGCTTGTCGAAACCCTTGGGCATCGAGCAGGGAACGCGCTGTGTTGTTCTGCCGTGGGGCAGCAGTGGGCCAACAATGACGCGGCTGTTTTTTTGAAAGGGCGTTGTTCAGTTGCCCCATTCAGGCTGATGCGCGCATCATGCGTCTTCTCGGCGTTGCATCATGCGCGCATCAAGGAAAATTGAGATTGCTAGGACGATGAACTTCTCGGAAAGCGTTAACATGGAAATTTGTGGTTGCAAAAGAGGCCGTTCTGCAGGCATTCGGGGATGGTTTGCCTCGGCAGCCGAGCGCTTATCGCGAGCCTTGATAACCCGCTGGCTGGTTATCAAGGAAGGCTCCTGGAACGCTGTTCAAAAATTGCAATGTACATTGATTCGGGTAGATGCGGCCGCTGAACGCAGCCTCAGGGTACACAGGACACGTACTCTACATTGACAGAGTCAGTAAGAACACTACTCTGAGCCTGGATACCAGATTTCAGGGTTCGCTAAAGTCCTTATCTGAATGGATCAGAGTTCACAAGTCACAAATTCTGAAATGGCAGGGACCACCAAGTGACAAGCCTGTAATCACCCTGAAATCAGGGTAATTACCCTGATAAATCAGCCATGCCTGAAACACAATTACCCATCGTTGGGGTTATATTGCATTGTCAATGAAACGTTTTACTGGGAGTGGAAAGGGGCGAGGTTGAGAGATGCTCCGTTGGTGCATGTGAGGAGTGAGAAAGGTGGGAGTTGGAGAGACCTGTGGAAACCATCCAAGACAACAAGGGAGAAGATGCATAGCGTGAATAAGCAGCTGTTAGAGGGGTACAGTATCCATGATGAAGAGGCATATATGCTGAAAGTGGAAAAGGGATCTGATTTGTAATATCCTATGCATAGAGCGGAGGTGTGTGTACTGTAATCTGGATTCATTGCGAGAAATGGGTTACGAAAGTGGTGTTGGCAGACAAGCACCCATTTAACAACCCAGGGATTAGTAGCTAAATCCAGGGCAGTTGCAGAAGTGTGGAGAGACAGCCACCCACCACTGCTCCAAAATGAAGTGCTTGAGAGCCAGCACTGCTCTGCTACAGCATGCACATAGGCAGTACTGCTGACTCGGTTTTGCCTAATTCATGTCACTCTCGAATAGCACTTGAACTGATACAGGTACTGGACAAGATACTTGTTGGCGGAAACAACGCTGTACAAGCGCTAATACTGTTGGGTCAATATGATTGCAGAAAGGGTGGCTGGAACCAGGGCACTTGCAGAAAGGATGCGATTTGAAGGGAGAGCCAGCGCTGCTCCGCTAGCGACAAGCGAGAGCCAAAGGAGAGCGTCTCGCCGCCTGCCATGGTGAGCTGGCAGAACGTGGTTGGTGGAGAGTGGTGGTGGTGGTAGTGGTACTGGCCGTACTCCCATGAGTCGTGCTGATGGTGCTGCAGCGGTGTTGGGTGGAGGGAATGGGGGATTATCAGCAGTAGTGGTGGTGGTGGTGGTGGTGGTGGTGGTGGTGATATGCTGATGGTGCTGCAAGCAGGTGTTGGGTGGAAGGAAAGGGGGACTGGGGAATTTTCAAGAAGATGAAACTCAGGAGCAAGAGTGGTGGTGGTGGCCGTACTCCCACGACTCGTGCTGATGGAAATAGTGGGCGGTTTTCACGAGTTGTGCTGATGGAAATAATGGGCGGTTTTCACGAGTTGTGCTGATGGTGCATATGCGAACCTCTGAGCAGATGCTGAAGCAAGATGCCTTGCCTAGATGCTAATAGACAGACAAAAACGCATGCACGTGCTTGTTTTCCTCTCCATGGAGCAGCGGACAGGTGCGGTACATGGTGCAGCGCATGGTGCAGCGCATGGTGCTAGAAATATCCATGGAGAGGAGGTACAAGATAAAGAACTGCATGATGTAGTTGACTCTGATGCCATGGATGAGACCAGTGTGCATGGTGAACAGGCCAAAGAAAGGCAAAGTCTGTTCTAAAGGCACATACGATAGGCAAGGGAGAATGTATGTACCTGCATGGTGTAGTTGACTCCCGCGCCATGGATGAGAGCTGTGTGCGCCGTGGAAAGGCCAAAGAACGGCAGAGTCTGCCCTTTCACCATTCGATGAATGGTCACCTGACACGTGGCAGGGTCCACTGTTACTGTTTCGTCCATGATGTGCCGCAGTAGCACGTGGGCCAGCAGGCTGGCGGGGAGGAGGGGGAGGGGGAGGTGGAGAAGGGGAAGCTTAGAGGGATGTGTGATGATCGGTTGTCATGATGACAGTGACTGTTTCGTCCATAATGTGCCGCCGTAGCAAGTGGGCCAGCAGGCTGGCGGGGAGGAGGGGAAACGGGAGGTGGGGGAGGTGGAGGCAGGTGGGAGGAAGTGGCAGTAAGTACAAGGTCGTGGGTCGTGCCCTGCCCCGCGACATTGTCAGAGTAGGACAGGAACCCCTCGCGACAGGGCAGGCTAAGGGGTCCATGTGCACACGATAGTGTGCACAGCATCAGACAGGAACTGTAACGCCTGCGGGAAGTGTTAAAGGGCATTCCGCTGCGCCAAATAACACCCTCGTTTTGACCCAGTGGGTAGCGAGGTGTTATACTGGAATCAGAGCCTAGGGTTCGAATTCCTGGCTGGACCACACTTTCCGCCTTTGGCGAGAACTGAAGTGTGGTTGTAACCAGCTCGAACCCAACGAACGATCCAGGGAGGTCCCTGCGGGGGCCGACTCCCTGAAGTTGAGGGCCAACGGGGACGTTGGCAACCAGGGGGGGACGAGTGTAACGCCTGCGGGAAGTGTTAAAGGGCATTCCGCTGCGCCAAATAACACCCTCGTTTTGACCCAGTGGGTAGCGAGGTGTTATAGGAACCCGTTAGGCAATGATGTGCCACCATGGTGAACGAAGGTGAGTGCAGCAGAAGGTGGAAGGTCTGGTGTCAGTCAATGAACGAAGAAATCAGGGGCGTTGTGGGACGGTGGTTGGAGGGGAAGGGGAGGGGGAGTAGAGACAGATGACTGGCTGGCTGCTTACTAGACATGGCAGATGAATATTACTAACGACGAAGAAGAAGAAGGAGGAGGAGGAGGAGGAGGAGGAGGAGGAGGAGGAGGAGGAGGAGGAGGAGGAGGAGGAGGAGGAGGGAGGAGGAGGAGGAGGAGGAGGAGGAGGAGGAGGAGGAGGAGGAGAAGGAGAAGGAGAAGGAGAAGGAGAAGGAGAAGGAGAAGAAGAAGAACTGAAGAAGATGAAAGGAAAGAGTCAAAGAGACATGGATTTAGCTGAATAGAACCCACCCAATGCCGACAGCCCAGAAGGGAATGGAGAAGAGGATGAAGAAGAGGGGAGCCCCAGAAGATGCTGCTGTGGTCGTCCAGAAGGCGACAAAGGCCGTCCAGAACTGAGATGGCTCAGATGGTGGGTGGTGGGGAGATTGAGAGGGAGAGGAACGGAACAATTGAATTGAAGGCAGGAAGGGAGGGAGTGCAACAGTACGTTTGCTGCTGCTGTTAATGTCCAAAAGACGACAAATGCCGTCCAAAGGAGTTTCGGAGGCTAGAAACGAAGGGAAAACAACGGCACGGAAAAATTTGAAAGACACAAAGCAAAGCAGCAAGATGGATTTAGGGCAGCGGGCTTGAGAGGGTGAAGCTCACCAGGGCGAAGACGATTTCAGGAAGCGCTTTGAGGGAGAAGTGCTGGGGAGGGATGGTGAAGTGGAGGAGCGTGGGCGAGCGGGAGAAGAGTACTCGCGTGCCCATGGGCTGGGCCAGACCTGGGAACGCTCCCACTGGCGTCCCCATTGCTGCTCCCCCTGCTGCTGCTGTTGCCCCCCCTGCTGCAGCTGCTGCTGCTGCTGCTGCTGTTCGCAACGGCTGCATCAACTTCAGCTCCAATAAGCGGGGTGGGGGACTGCGGCGAGTAGGGCTGCGGGGGAAACGGCGCGCTGGCCGGCAGAGGAACGCCGATTTGGTGTGCGGGAGAGAGGAGGGAGGTGAATGGGAGGGAGAGGGAGAACGGGAGGAACGAAGGCGCGGGGGGAGGCATCTGGAAAAACGGCGCGGAGGGAGAAAGAGGCGGGGGGAAGGGGAAAGGCGGAGGAGGAGCAGCAGCGGCACCATTAGGACCAGCAGTAGCAGCGGTAGACGGATTGGGCGTGGGAAGCGGAGGGTAGGAGGAGGAAGCGGAGGTGGTTGATGGGCCAAGCAGAAGAGCGTGATCCGAGCTTTGGCCTTGGCCGCTCGTTGCCTGCTCCTCGTTGAAACCCTAGCCGATTGGGAGACCAGGGGAGGATTGGAGAACGGCGGTGAGGAGAAGGGGGAGGGAAGAAAACACGGGAACCAAAAAATGCTTGGAAGACAATAAAGCCAACGGAGCGAATTCGGCGAATTGGATACGAGAACGAAAAGAACAAGCGCGAAGAGAGGCCTCAAATAAAGATCTTGTGCGATAAACGAAGTCTGGACGATCTTTCATGTACGAAACTAACTCTGGAATAATCAACGTGCGTGCGACACTCACCATGTTGACGCTCCCGCGGCTGAAGCCACTCGGCCTTCCGCTATTCGACTGCTCGGAAATCCGCGATTCACGCGGGGGGTTCCCCGAATTTTCGGAATCGCTAATCGGGCGACGCTGGCGAAGGTGGTTACCGTGGTTCGCCGGCAGATTCCTGTCCATCAATCATCACTCGTCCGTTGTTTCGCCTCAGCTCAAGCTGCATTGCGCTCTCCCGCCTGCTGGAATCCGTTACCACACATCAACATCAACGAAGGAGTCTGGCGTACGAATTTTGAGAAGGATTTCCGGTCGCGCAGCTCCAAGCGATGGGGTCCAGCGACAATTTCACTGCTTTCAAGTGCTATGAGCCGCACCCTGGAACCTCTACGAAAGGCATCGTATCGACTCGTTTCGAAACAACTCAAATTCCGCTTATTGCTACGAGGCGAGCTTGCGATAGGTTACTCGATTTCGCACGAACAGTCCGTTCGCCACACAAATTCGAGCACAGGACGGCAAACGGGGTAGGGCAAGGCGGAGGAGGGCAGGGGGAAGGAGAGGGTCACTTATCTGCTTGTAAGTGCAACTCGATTCAATCCCATGACAAAATAAATTTGGCTGGAAAACAAAAAGCGCGTGTAGGCCAAAGATAACTGAATTGACAGTTTCCTTAGTCAACGAATGAAGAAGGCCTGTACAGTCCAAAACGACGCCGAATTTGTACGCGACAGAACGCGTCCGCAAGCACTGCAATAAGAACCACGAAGCGCGATTCGTGGTTTCCTAGCCCCGCAATTACCGTCAGGAAACGTGCGCAAGCTTGTGCGATTATTTTGCGATTATTCTTCTTAGTCAAAGAAAGACTAGCCGCGAAGTTTTGCCAGGAAGGGCAATGCGCAGCGCACTTTTGCACGCCATCGCCGTTGCCCATTCCTGCACCTGCTGCTGATGTTTCTGCTTGCCTTATATTCAATCCAACCAACTCTGGTGCTTCTGTCTCAACCCAGCGCTGTCTGTTACACGTTCTGGTGATTATCGATTCTGACGCTCCAGTGTAAACGCTAATCAGATCGCGCCAAGCGACCTACAACCTAGGATGGGAGCGATCGAGGAGGAGCCTACTGGTGTTGAGAGGGGAGTGTTTCAAGCAGGACGAGCGGAAGGAGCGGAAGAAGCGGAAGGATCGGAAGGAGCGGAAGGAAGGGAAGGAGCAGGCGAAGGGGAGGTGGGAGGCGAAGTGGGGGAGAGACTGGGAGGAGAAGCTGCGATGACAGACGTAAGGGAAGGGGAGGACAGAGGCGAAGGGGAGGACAGAGGCGAAGGGGAGGACAGAGGCGAAGGGGAGGACAGAGGCGAAGGGGAGGACAGAGGCGAAGGGGAGGGGGCGGAAGGAGCAAGAGAGGGGACGGGTGCAGCAACAGGGGGCACGGCGTTGGATGCGGCAGGAAACGCGGAGGGGATGGAGGGAGCGGGAGAGACGCAGCCCGCAGACTGGCCTCTGCTGCAGTTCTCACAGCCCGCGCCCGCCTGTCGCGCGCTGATCTGGCAGTGCTTCCGCGCTGACGCGGACGCTGACGTGGCAGCCGACGCGGTAACTGATGTGGCAAGTGGAAGAAATGGAGGGCAGGGGTGCGTGGAGGGGAGTGCGGCGGGCAGGAAGCGGAAGGCTGGGTGCGAGCGCTTGGTGCAAAGCCGGCGACAACTGGACCCTTCTGGGAACTTTCTCAAGGGAGTGAAGTGGTGAGGTCTTCCTGGTTGTACGCCTTGCCTTCCCAAGCCTTGCCTTCCCAAGCCTTGCCTTCCCAAGCCTTGCCTTCCCAAGCCTTGCCTTCTTAAGCCTTGCCTTCCCGGACCTGGCCTTCCCAAGCCTTGCCCTCCCAAGCCTGGCCTTCCCAAGCCTTAACCAGGTGGCCCAGGTTGCCTCTTCGAACCTGGTTCTGGCTACACTCCTAACTGGCGTTTGTTGCTCCTCCTGCTGTGTGACATGCCATGCCATGGCAGGTCGCCAGATGGCACGTGTCTATTGGCTGCCAGCGAGGATTGCTGCCTGCGCCTCTTTGACCTGTACGTGTCATGCCATGCCATCCCAATGCCACGTCACGCCATACCATGCCTAGCCATGCCAATGCCACGCCATGCTCTTGTGTACCCGCACATATCTGTTACATTGTGTATGGACCAATTCCAAAGAATCATGTTGATGCTTGAACTGAGCCGAGGAGATCGTGACCAGCGGATTCAGTTCGACCCACCCTGTCATGTTGTACCTCTCAGGCTTCTGCCCTCTTCCTCTCCCCATTCATTTGTTCATTTTCATCCTCTAGTGAAATATCTGGCTTGTCACTCTCTGCTTCCTTCCTGCTCACCACTCCTTCAGCCCTGCTGACATCATGCTGGCATCATCTGCCCCATATGACATGAACGATGACCGAGGTATGCTCAACACTCGTGCATGTATTCCGTTCATTCGTTCACATGCAGCGCACTGCACATGCTGACGTCAGCATGGCATGATTCCCTCCTCACTCCTCCCTCCCTTTCCTCCCCGCCCCCCTCCCCACGGGCTGCTCCTGCCTTCCCCCCCCCCCCATTCTCTCTCACCGTCTCTTTCCCCCTTCTGCCCGACCTCGCTCTTCCCCCCTTTCTCGTCCCTCTCAGACTCGCTTGCACCGGCAGTGATGGTCAGGGAGGGAGAGACCATCTATGACTTTGCATGGTTCCCTGCCATGTCAGCAGCTGGTATGCCATGTCAGCAGCTGGTATGCCATGTCAGCAGCTGGTATGCCATGTCAGCGCTTGCATGCTGTGGGATATGAACAACATGATGACTGGCAAACGTAGCTGCTTGATCCTCTATGCCGCTCCACATTGCTCACATGCTGACATCCCTGCCTTGCGTTTCATTCCCTGGCCCACCCACGCCGCCCCATGTTGTGTCATAGCGAATCACGACACACAATTCTCATGTCATGTCATGTCATGTCATGTCATGTCATGTCATGTCATGTCATGTCATGCATGCATTATGCACCGCACCATGCTGCCGCGCTGCATGAAAATCGCCACACCACACCATCCCACGGCGCCATCACGGTGCTGTCACAGCTCATCTCCCACACCATCACCCATTCCCAGTGCCGTGTGTGTGTGTGTGTGCGTCCGCGCCAACGCTGCCACGTCCCCCTGCCCCTCTACTGCCACGCCCCCCCGCCCCTCCCACGGCCACGTCATTACATGCAGATCCTGTGTCATGTGTGTTCGCGGCAACATCAAGGGACCACCCCGTGCACCTGTGGGATGCCATGACCGGCCAGGTGTGCGCTCAGGTGGTTGGGCAGGTGTGTGCTCAGGTGCTCCGCCAGGGCAGTTCAGGCGGTAGGCCAGGTGTTATTGCTAGATGGACGAGATTGCTGCTGCCCTTTTTGAACCACGTTGATTGAATTGCGATGCGCGTGTGCATTCCACTGCAGTGAGCACACGGAATGCATTCCACTGCAGTGAGCACACGGAATGCATTCCTCTCCGCACTCCCTCTCCCCGCACCAGCTGCGCTGCACGTACCGAGCATATGACCACCTGGATGAAACTGCTGCTGCGCTGGTTAAACCACATGGATTAGGTTGCCGTGCATGCATACAGCTGTGGTGAATGTACTGAAATGCACTCCTCTTCACCCCCCACCATGCCACTCCAGCTGCGCTGCACGTACCGAGCATACGACCACATGGACGAGATTGCTGCTGCGCTCTCTCTCACCTTCTCTGCTCACGGACACAAGTGAGTGGTCAGTGCGGGAGGGCGTGAGGGCTTGAGTTAGTGAGGGAGGGAGGGAGTGATGGGTGTGAGCGTAAGGTGTGAATACGGGAGAGATTGTGCAGACGAATGAGTGAGCGAGTGAGTGAGTTAGGAGTGATTTCTGAAGGAAGTCTAAGTGAGTGGGTGAGTGAGTGAGTGAGTGAGTGAATGAGTGAGTGAGTGAGTGAGTGAGTGAGCGAATGAGCGGGTGTCTGAGTGGGTGAGTGTGTGAGCATATGAGCAGGTGAGTGAGTGAGTAGATGTAGGTGCCTGTCTTCGACTCCTCTTCTCAACTTCCTCCCGTCCTGTCGACCTTCCTACGTTTCTCTTCCCTCCTTGTCCACTTAATAGCTTTCCCCATCCATATCTCTCCCTCCCCTCCCCCCCTCTCTTCCCTCCCTCCCCTCCCTCCCCTTTCTCTCCTCCCTCCCCTCCCTCCCCTCTCTTCCCTCCCTCTCCTCCCTCCCCTCCCTCCCCTCCCTGCCCTCCATCCCGTCCCTCCCCACCCTCCTCTCCACACCTATGCCCGGCCCTCGCTTCACCTGCCCCAACCCCCCCTCACCTCATTCTGGGCTTCCGAGGTGCCACTGCCCCACCCTGCCTTGCCCTGCCCTGCCCTGCCCAAACCTGCCCTGCCGTGCCCTGCCCTGCCCTGCCGTGCCCTGCCCTGCCCTGCCCTGCCCTGCCCTGCCCTGCCTTTGACCTTCCGCCCACTCTCTTACCCCCCTGTCCCCCACGCAGGCTCATCTTGGGCTTCCCGCGCTGTCTGAGAGTGTTTGACACGAGCATACCGGGGCGTGACTGCCAGCAGCACAGCACGGGCGCCAAGGGGCGCGGCCAGACAGGTGGGAAAGGGGGATAGGGGCCACTAGGTAGGGGGACAGGTGAAGTGCGTCTGGGGTTGATCGCGATGCGAGTGGTTGAGAGCATACCTGCCAGCAGCACAGCACGGGCGCCAAGGGGCACGGGCAGACAGGTGTGGCTGGGGTGCGGGGGATAGGGGCCACAAGGGTAGGACCAAGGAGATGGATTGGAGAGTCAAGGCCAGTGGTGTACATGAGTGCACGGGGCCGCGACTGCCAGCGGGACAGCACGGGAGGCAAGGGGTGCGGGCACGTGAGTTGACCTCGTGAGTTGACCTCGTGAGTTGACCTCGTGAGTTGACCTCATGAGTTGACCTCGTGAGTTGACCTCGTGAGTTGACCTCGTGAGTTGACCTCGTGAGTTGACCTCGTGAGTTGACCTTGTGAGTTGACCTCGTGAGTTGACCTCGTGAGTTGACCTCGTGAGTTGACCTTGTGAGTTGACCTCGTGAGTTGACCTCGTGAGTTGACCTCGTGAGTTGACCTCGTGAGTTGACCTCGTGAATTGACCTCGTGAGTTGACCTCGTGAGTTGACCTCGTGAGTTGACCTCGTGAGTTGACCTCGTGAGTTGACCTCGTGAGTTGACCTCGTGAGTTGACCTCGTGAGTTGCAGGTCTGCTCTCCTGTCCGGCCACCAACCCATACATTTCGGGCCTTCTGCTAGCCATGGGCTCATACGAAGGCACTGTTGGGCTGTCTGGCGACCCACTTTTTCCCTGCCCCCTCTCAACTCCTCAGGCCACTCCTCCCCGCATTGCCCCCATCCCCTTGCAGGTCTGCTCTCCTGCCTGGCCACCAACCCGTACGTGGCGGGCCTTGTGGCTGTGGGGTCATACGATGGCACTGTGGGGCTGTACGGCGACCTGGGCAGGGAGGCCATGGCAGTCATGCACGGGCACGCAGGGGGAGTCACACAGGTGCGTGTGTGAGTGCGTGCGTGCGCGCCTCTGTGTGTGTGGTTCTGGGTGTCACTGTGACCATCACTTCAAGGGGACCATCACTTCAAGGGTATGTACTCCAGGGCTGTAGGGAGATCTGGGCAGGGAGGCGATGGCGGTGATGCACGGGCACACAGGAGGGGTCACTGAGGCGGGTGGGCGTGTGGGTTGGGTGTGTGCGCTGCTTCGATGTCAGCCACTCCTGTCCCTTGCACACTCCTCCCCTCTTCCTCCCGCCCCCCACGCAAGCAACCCCGCATTTTCTGCAACCCCTCCCACTGCACGCACGCGTCATCCCATGCCAGGTGCTCTTCTCTCAGGATGGCAACTTCCTCTACTCGGGTGCACGCAAGGTCAGCACCTCGTTGCATATCGCCTGCATGCCTGCCTGCCTGCCCGCCCGCCCGCCCGCCCGCCCGCCCGCCCGCCCGCCCGCCCGCCGCCTGCCTGCCTGCCTGCCTGCCTGCCTGCCTGCGTGCCTGCGTGCGTGCGTCCAGCACACAGCTTATTGGGTCATTTTCATTCCCTGCATTCATTCATTTGCCTCTGTTGCATTGCGTCTTACCAATTGACTCCTTCACTTTCATCTCTTTGCATTTTACTTTCCTGAGAGAGACATTGGAGAGGCAGCAGACAGGGTTACGTTCATTCGCTGCATTCGCTTGCATCATCCACAACGGACTCTTCTTTCTTCCATTTGCGTCCCTCTCTTCCATTTGCGTCCCTCTCTTCCATTTGCGTCCCTCTCTCAGGATCCAGCCATCCACTGCTGGGACGTGCGCAACACATCAGGCGTTGTGTACAGGTGAGGCACGGCATTGTATAGGCATAGCTAGTAGCACCACATCAGGTGTCGTCTAGTCTACACATGCAACTAAATTTAATCGTTCACTGCTGGGACGTGCGCAACACATCAGGCGTTGTGTACAGGTGAGGCACGGCATTGTATAGGCATAGCTAGTAGCACCACATCAGGTGTCGTCTAGTCTACACATGCAACTAAATTTAATCGTTCACTGCTGGGACGTGCGCAACACATCAGGCGTTGTCTACAGGTGTGTGTGTGTGTGGCATTGCAGGTTCGGTATGCTTTTGAGGCGCCTCAGATCAGGAGCTGTCTGCCTACCTGCAGTCTAGGAGAATGGCAGCACATGCAATGTGCTCTTCGAGGCCCCTGAAAAGTTACATTCGGTCATAAAACCCCCATGTCACATGCCATGCCATGCCATCCCATCCCATGCCATCTCATCGCATCCCATCCCACCCCACCCCATATCACCCCATGACAGCATGCAGCGGTGTGTTACGTCCACCAACCAGCGCATGGCGTTTGATACCATGTCCAAGCAATTTGTGCCATGCCATCCCATGTCACCCCTTTGTCACCCCTTTGTCACCCCTTTGTCACCCCTTTGTCACCCCTTTGTCACCCCTTTGTCACCCCCCATGTCACCTCATGTCACCCTGCATCACCCCATGACCGAGCCATTTCATGCCATATCCATCCCATGTCACACTTTTTCTCCCCATGTCACCCCGTATCACCCCATGTCACCCCGTATCACCCCATGTCACCCCGTATCACCCCATGTCACCCCGTATCACCCCATGACATCCCGTATCACCCCATGACATCCCGTATCACCCCATGACATCCCGTATCACCCCATGACATCCCGTATCACCCCATGACATCCCGTATCACCCCATGACATCCCGTATCACCCCATGACATCCCGTATCACCCCATGACATCCCGTATCACCCCATGACATCCCGTATCACCCCATGACATCCCGTATCACCCCATGACATCCCGTATCACCCCATGACATCCCGTATCACCCCATGACATCCCGTATCACCCCATGACATCCCGTATCACCCCATGACATCCCGTATCACCCCATGACATCCCGTATCACCCCATGACATCCCGTATCACCCCATGACATCCCGTATCACCCCATGACATCCCGTATCACCCCATGACATCCCGTATCACCCCATGACACCCCGTATCACCCCATGACATCCCGTATCACCCCATGACATCCCGGATCACCCCATGACATCCCGTATCACCCCATGACATCCCGTATCACCCCATGACATCCCGTATCACCCCATGACATCCCGTATCACCCCATGACATCCCGTATCACCCCATGACATCCCGTATCACCCCATGACATCCCGTATCACCCCATGACATCCCGTATCACCCCATGACATCCCGTATCACCCCATGACATCCCGTATCACCCCATGACATCCCGTATCACCCCATGACATCCCGTATCACCCCATGACACCCCGTATCACCCCATGACATCCCGTATCACCCCATGACATCCCGTATCACCCCATGACATCCCGTATCACCCCATGACATCCCGTATCACCCCATGACATCCCGTATCACCCCATGACATCCCGTATCACCCCATGACATCCCGTATCACCCCATGACATCCCGTATCACCCCATGACATCCCGTATCACCCCATGACATCCCGTATCACCCCATGACACCCCGTATCACCCCATGACATCCCGTATCACCCCATGACATCCCGTATCACCCCATGACATCCCGTATCACCCCATGACATCCCGTATCACCCCATGACACCCCGTATCACCCCATGACATCCCGTATCACCCCATGACATCCCGTATCACCCCATGACATCCCGTATCACCCCATGACATCCCGTATCACCCCATGACATCCCGTATCACCCCATGACATCCCGTATCACCCCATGACATCCCGTATCACCCCATGACATCCCGTATCACCCCATGACATCCCGTATCACCCCATGACATCCCGTATCACCCCATGACATCCCGTATCACCCCATGACATCCCGTATCACCCCATGACATCCCGTATCACCCCATGACATCCCGTATCACCCCATGACATCCCGTATCACCCCATGACATCCCGTATCACCCCATGACATCCCGTATCACCCCATGACATCCCGTATCACCCCATGACATCCCGTATCACCCCATGACATCCCGTATCACCCCATGACATCCCGTATCACCCCATGACATCCAGTATCACCCCATGACATCCCGTATCACCCCATGACATCCCGTATCACCCCATGACATCCCGTATCACCCCATGACATCCCGTATCACCCCATGACATCCCGTATCACCCCATGACATCCCGTATCACCCCATGACATCCCGTATCACCCCATGACATCCCGTATCACCCCATGACATCCCGTATCACCCCATGACATCCCGTATCACCCCATGACATCCCGTATCACCCCATGACATCCCGTATCACCCCATGACATCCCGTATCACCCCATGACATCCCGTATCACCCCATGACATCCCGTATCACCCCATGACATCCCGTATCACCCCATGACATCCCGTATCACCCCATGACATCCCGTATCACCCCATGACATCCCGTATCACCCCATGACATCCCGTATCACCCCATGACATCCCGTATCACCCCATGACATCCCGTATCACCCCATGACATCCCGTATCACCCCATGACATCCCGTATCACCCCATGACATCCCGTATCACCCCATGACATCCCGTATCACCCCATGACATCCCGTATCACCCCATGACATCCCGTATCACCCCATGACATCCCGTATCACCCCATGACATCCCGTATCACCCCATGACATCCCGTATCACCCCATGACATCCCGTATCACCCCATGACATCCCGTATCACCCCATGACATCCCGTATCACCCCATGACATCCCGTATCACCCCATGACATCCCGTATCACCCCATGACATCCCGTATCACCCCATGACATCCCGTATCACCCCATGACATCCCGTATCACCCCATGACATCCCGTATCACCCCATGACATCCCGTATCACCCCATGACATCCCGTATCACCCCATGTCACCCCGTATCACCCCATGACATCCCGTATCACCCCATGACATCCCGTATCACCCCATGACATCCCGTATCACCCCATGTCACCCCGTATCACCCCATGACATCCCGTATCACCCCATGTCACCCCGTATCACCCCATGACATCCCGTATCACCCCATTACATCCCGTATCACCCCATGTCACCCCGTATCACCCCATGACATCCCGTATCACCCCATGTCATCCCGTATCACCCCATGTCACCCCGTATCACCCCATGACATCCCGTATCACCCCATGACATCCCGTATCACCCCATGACATCCCGTATCACCCCATGTCACCCCGTATCACCCCATGGCATCCTGTATCATCCCATGACATCCCGTATCACCCCATGACACCATGGCAGCATGCAGCGGTGTGTGACATCCACCAATCAGCGCATTGCATTCGACATCGACCCATCCAACCGCCACCTTGCCACTGGGGGAGAGGTGCGTGGGGGGGGTTGGGCTCGTGGGGCATGGTGGGGGCAAGGCGAGGCGCGAGTAGGGAAAAGAGCCCGGGAATAGACAGTGCATAGGTGCATGGGTGCATGGGTGCATGGGTGCATGGGTGCATGGGTGCATGGGTGCATGGGTGCATGGGTGCATGGGTGCATGGGTGCATGGGTGCATGGGTGCATGGGTGCATGGGTGCATGGGTGCATGGGTGCATGGGTGCATGGGTGCATGGGTGCATGGGTGCATGGGTGCATGGGTGCATGGGTGCATGGGTGCATGGGTGCATGGGTGCATGGGTGCATGGGTGCATGGGTGCATGGGTGCATGGGTGCATGGGTGCATGGGTGCATGGGTGCATGGGTGCATGGGTGCATGGGTGCATGGGTGCATGGGTGCATGGGTGCATGGGTGCATGGGTGCATGGGTGCATGGGTGCATGGGTGCATGGGTGCATGGGTGCATGGGTGCATGGGTGCATGGGTGCATGGGTGCATGGGTGCATGGGTGCATGGGTGCATGGGTGCATGGGTGCATGGGTGCATGGCACGGCATGGCATGGCATGGCATGGCATGGCATGGCATGGCATGGCATGGCATGGCATGGCATGGCATGGCACGGCATGGCATGGCATGGCATGGCATGACATCGTATATCGTCTGACATTGATGCCCTCTTCAAACAGTGTCTCCCCCACACAACCTCTCACCCTTTACCTTGTCGATCGCAGGATGGTCAAGTGTGGGCGTTTGACCTCGCCACAGGCTCCAAGATCGCAGCATTCCAAGCCGCTCAAGGTAACGTTGATGTGTGGTGCTCTGCAGTGCAATGTGGTGCTCTGAGATGCTTGCAGATCCACCTTCCCAGTTACCGTCCGCCCCAGCCGGCGTGTCTTTCACCAGTCCAAAGCTCTCCGGTCATAGCACCCCCTCTCCCCACCAACCCCCTTTCCTCCTGTGTCTTCCAAATTTTACCATCCTCAGATACCGTCAACGGGTTTGCCTTCCACCCGTGCCTGCCGCTAGCTGCCACGTCATCAGGCCAGCGCAGGTTCCACCTGCCGTCCCTCACACCTGCCAGCCCACCTGAAGCTGGCACCTGCTCACCTGAAGCACCTGCTGTTTCACCTGATGAGGGACGCGTTTCTCTTGAGTCTATAGCGGCAGGTGTTCACAACGCATCGGATCGGCTCCACAGTAAGTCATTGTGACGCATTTGAACTCGTGAAACCTGACACACGGTTCCACATCGTGTCAGCCTTGCACATAGGCTCTTTTCACTCGCATCCAAATGTTTTGAGGCGGCGTCTCAAATCTCGAAACTTGTTTTGAGACGTCTCAAGACACACTTGAAATCACATCGCGTCAGCCTTTTAGATAGAGTCTTTTCAGTCGCATTCAAAAGTCACCACCAATGCTTCCCTTATGAGCCACTTGTAGCTCTAGACTCCTTCCTCACTGCAAAGATCCTCCCAGACGTGCACTTAGGCTGTTGCTCTCTTTCTCCTGGGCGCTCGTAGAACCTGTGTGTTCTCTCCAGTGAATTGCTCACAACATTCACTTGTCTTGTTTGTCCCTCCGTTTGCCCCATCCCGTGTGGCCCTTCCTCTGTCAGTGTTCAGAGAGCGCAGCACCATGTGCGCTTGGATGAGGCGCCGTAAATTCTAGTCTGTCCCTCCATTTTTCCCCAAACGTGCCCTTCCCCTAGCAGAGTTCAATAACTGCGCCGCTCTGTGGCAATTCCATTGCACGTGGGGGTGAAGGGCGGTAGTTCCAACCGAAGTATGCTACTCCCGGTCGCACAATTCGTCCAATACTGCATTGGTCGACAATATCTTGAAGTCTCTATAACAGCATTGAAGAATTGGTGTTGTGCTGTTGGAACATACCAAAAATGTTGCAATTTGCGTTGGGAGTTCCATGTATTTCGTGCGAACAAAATACCTTCTTGCCAACAGCACATGGATTCGCTTCTTTTCGATGGCACGAGAAGTGAGCAACTCAGGAATGCGAGCACTATACATACATTCGTCATAAGGTCCACAAACAACGTGTTATGGTACGTCTCAGAAGAGCCTCAAAATGAGTAAACAAACTGACTGTTACCGGTGCATCACATAACATCACATCACCCAAAACCTACCGATACACCAGCTTCCGATTCGAGACCGTCTTCCTTCTCTGCTCTCGCCATGGCTGAACCTCATCATCAGACCACAACAACCCCCTCCCCTCCTCCCCCCCCCCTGTTCGCCATGCCATCAGCACATTACCACCCGCTTCAAGCCTGTAGCATCACCGATATGAAGGCACCCAGTCACAGCCCCAACAGGCCGGTACCATACCTCGCACAGCATTTGGGGCAGTTCACAACCATGCCAGCAGTACAGCACATTACCACGTGCTACCAGTACAGCACATTACCACGTGCCACCAGTACAGCACATTACCACGTGCCACCAGTACAGCACATTACCACGTGCCAAGCCAAGCATGCAGCATCACCGGTATGGAAGCACCCTGCCTAGGTGCCCACTACAGGCCAGTACCCTACCTCGCACCGCATTCCCTCTATTGATAACATCCTCTTTGTCCTCTGCTTCATCTGTCTCCTCTGCTCCCCCTTTGCTGTGCACATGAGGCCGTTACAAGCAGGGTGTGGGAGGCAACAAGCAGAGTGACAGCGACGCCCAGCCCAGCAAACACATGGGGCAGCCTGGATGAGGACAATGAGGCAGCAACCTACCTAGCATCCTCTTTACCCTCTGCTTCATCCGCCTCCTCTGTGCCCCCCTCGCTGTGTCGCATGAGCCCGTACACGCGGGCGGTGCGCGAGGCAACGAGCAGGTTGACAGCAGCGCCCAGCACACAGACGGCGGTGAGGATGAGGAAGATGATGCGGAAGCAGTGCGCCCCGTGACATGCCTTGGGCCCCTCTCCTCCTCCACCCCCCCCTCCAGTCCTCACTGCACTGCCAACAACATCACTGAACCAGCCACCCAACCAGCGAGATCCCAACCACCCCTGCCCAGTACCCTCTGCCCCTGCTGTTGCTCCTGTTGCTGCTGCTGTTGCTACTGCTGCTGTGTGCGTTGGCGAGGGCAGCATCAGCCCCATTGTCTTCCTAGCGCCTGTGAAAGCAACAGGGCCATCGGGCACGTGGCCGACTCCTCCTGCTGGCTCCAAGGCCCACTCTCCCCCGGGTGTTAGCCACGATGCTGCCCCCGCTAGGGCTGCTGTGATCCCTCTGTCTTTCTGTGCCTCTATTTCATAGAGGTACCCCGCCAGCACTCCTGGGAGAAGGGACAAAGCAGACAGACAGGCAATGGACACGTGATGGAGAGTAAGACTTCAAGTCGACTCATAAAATCGTTCCTTTCCGCGCCTCGATTTCGTAGAGGCTCCCCTATAACAGTGCTGGAAGAAGGGACAGGTAAGGGAGAGGGAATGGAGAGGCAAAGGAGAGGCAAGAGTGGGAGCGAGGGGAGTAACAAACGTACAGGTAACGGACTTCACTAAGCAATCACATCATTCATTTCTCTACGCGGACACCAGCCGTCAGAGGCAAGCCAAACACACCTCAGGGTTGCTCCACAACACAGCACACACGGAACAGAAACAATCGCTCTCACGGCGCCTCAAAATACGATTCTCTGTGGCGCCTTGAGGAACAACGTGCAGCGACGGAGCGGGACAGTACAGTCATTCTCCAAGGGGAGGCGCACCTTCAGAAGAGGTACCTGAGGGTGGGGCGCACCTTCAGAAGAGGTACCTGAGGGTGGGGCGCACCTTCAGAAGAGGTACCTGAGGGTGGGGCGCACCTTCAGAACAGGTACCTGAGGGTGGGGCGCACCTGGAAAGAGGTAGGAGGAAGGAACAGAAGGGAGGGCGTACTTGAGAAGAGGTAGGAGCCGAGGGGAGGGCGTACCTGAGAAGAGGTAGGAGCCAAGGGGGGCGGCGGCGAGAAGGGAGTTGTAGAGCAGGCCGAGGCAGCGACGGCCGAAGAGCTCTGCTGCGATGACAGGCATGACGGAGCACAGGCCCCCGTATGTGAAGCCTATGAGCAGCGATCCCAGGTACACGCCTCCTGGTGGGGCCAGGGCGAAGGCGAGGTGCCCCACTGCCATGAGCAGCTGAATGGCCGCCAGGGCCATGGGGCGTGGCATGCCGTGGGCTCTGTAGGGGAAGGGGAAGAAGGAGGGGAAAGGGTTGGAAGACGAGGGCAGAGGTGCAAGCTGGGGTTCACGAGGCAAGCTGGGGTTCACGAGGCAGTGGCTGTGAACAGGACAAAGGCCACTCGCTCATTCCCCGTCCACCTTTCCCCTCATCCCCTCCCGCCCATTCCTCCATCCATCAAACCTTACAAACCGGCCAGCCCAAGTGCTCCAAGAGGGACCCACTAGCCAGCCGGTGGAGGAACAGCCAGATGCTGACGAGCGACGTGAGCACGTGCACGTTGCCGCACCCAGTCCCCCATACCCACATGCAGCAACCAAAGCAATGTCCTTCCCCCATCCCCCATCCCTCATCCCTCATCTCCCATCCTGCCGCACGCCTCATCCTTCGTCCTCCTTCCTTCCCCCCTCCTCCCACCTGACGAAGTGCTCCGAGAGCGATCCACTTGCCAGGCGTCCGAGCAACTGCCAGATGCTGACGAGCGACGTGACCACCTGCGTGTTGCCGCTCCCCTGTGCCTCTCCTATCCCCCATCCCACATACCCCATCGCCCATCCTGCCTCGTACCCAATCCCCCATCCCACATTCTTCCACCCACCCCCCCTCACCTGACAAAATGCTCCGACAGCGATCCACTGGCCAGCCGCCCAAGGAACTGCCAGATGCTGACGAGGGATGTGAGCACCTGCGCATTGCCGTACCCCTGTGCCTCGCCGATCTGCGCCAGGTTCGTGATGGCTGTCAGCCCCGCACCAAAGCCGCACACCAGCCCCCCATACAGCAGCCAGAAGTCTAAAGTGGATAGCGCCTGCCCGAATGAATGGTCCTCCCCCAGATATACCTCCCCCCTCGCTGCTGCTGCTCCCCCTGCATGGGCTTGCTCCGTTGCTTCGTCTCCTGCCCCATCGCCTTCCTCCTCCCGCTCCTCCCCATCCTCCTCCTCTTCCTCCTCCCCACACTCATCCTCATCGTCATCATCTCCACCCCTGCTGTATCCCCCTTTGGGAGAGGTGATTCCAGTCACTCGCGATTGAGTCTTACCATGAACAGACGTCTCCTCCTCCCCAAAGTAGTAACTCCAATCGTCCTCCCCGCCCTCCCCCTTCCCCCCACCCACACTCACCGCCCCTGCCACGTCACCATCCTCCGTCAGGCTGCTGAGGCTCTTCTGGCTGCCACGTGGAGGCATCCAATTGGTCCTAGGGCCATGATCAGGAGTCGAGCTGCTTCCTGCTGCACTTCCTCCTCCTTCTCCTCCTTTCCTTACCACCTGCCTTCCCTTCCTCCCCTCCTCTCCCTCCTCTCCCTCTTTTCCCTCTCTCCCTTCTTCTCCTCTCTCTTGCTCCCCCTCTTGCCTCCCCTTCAAACCACTAGCACTGCGCAGGCTACTACTGCTGGATATACTCTGCGCCCTTCTGCCAGCAGAGGGACTCCTTATATCGAGTATACCGGACCTGGGTTGGCTCCCCATACCCCCGCTTTGGTTGGTTCGGGAGTCAGCAGACGTGCCAAGGAGCAGGTGCGCGAGGGTCGCCGAGCCTACGCTGCTATGGGTGCCGAAGCTGCTGGCTTGGGCAGCTGCGGTGATGCTGCTGCTGAGCCCTAGCTTCGGCGCGTCGCCGGACCTGTTAGGGCTCACGAACGAGATGGCTCCTGCACCCCTCAAACCTCTTCCTCCTCCTGCTCCTCCTGCTCCTGTTGCAGGAGAGGAGGAAATGTTTTGAGCAGCAGAGCAGGTGCGTCTGCTGGAAGGAGGAGGTGGGCTGTTATACGGGGAGGTGTATTCAGGGGAGGTGGGTTGGGGGGAGGTTCTGCTGTTGCCGAGTGGGGAAAAGGCGGACTGGTGGGGTGAGAGAGAAAAAGCTGGTGGGTGAGTGGGTGGAGGGGAGGATGGGGAAAGAGCACTTGCGGCATGCAGTGTTTCCCCTTCTCTGATTGGTGGAAGCACGCTAGCCCCAGGACTGGCACTACCAGGAACGCCCCCTGCTGCTGACGTGGCTGGCGACTGGAGCAAAGGCTGGGAGAGATCGGAGGAGCCCTGGGCGTGTGGGTGAGTGAGAGAGGAGGGAGAGGGCGAGGGGGTGGCGGTGGAAGAAGAGGGAGAGCGGGAGGGGAGGAGCACGGAAGCAGGGGCGAGGAGGAGGAGGAGCATGGTGATGGTGATGGCTGTGGTGGTGTGCGGTGAGAAGGTGGTGAATGCCTGGGAGGTGATGACGAGGAGGAGGAAGGCGGCGAGCAGCATGCAGAGGCGCAGGATGAGAGAGAAGCCTGCGCTCTCCTCTGCTGCGACTTTGGGGGTGCGGGGGGCTGGGGGGACGGGGAGGTAACGGGACATATGGGGACGCAGGGGAACATATGGGGCGTATGGGGAGGCAAGGGGACACATAGGGAGGCAAGGGGACACATAGGGAGGCAAGGGGACAAATAGGGAGACAAGGGGACACATAGGGAGGCAAGGGGACACATAGGGAGGCAAGGGGACACATAGGGAGGCAAGGGGACACATAGGGAGGCAAGGGGACACATAGGGAGGCAAGGGGACACATAGGGAGGCAAGGGGACAAATAGGGAGGCAAGGGGACACATAGGGAGGCAAGGGGACACATAGGGAGGCAAGGGGACACATAGGGAGGCAAGGGGACACATAGGGAGGCAAGGGGACACATAGGGAGGCAAGGGGACACATAGGGAGGCAAGGGGACACATAGGGAGGCAAGGGGACACATAGGGAGGCAAGGGGACACATAGGGAGGCAAGGGGACACATAGGGAGGCAAGGGGACACATAGGGAGGCAAGGGGACACATAGGGAGGCAAGGGGACACATAGGGAGGCAAGGGGACACATAGGGAGGCAAGGGGACACATAGGGAGGCAAGGGGACACATAGGGAGGCAAGGGGACACATAGGGAGGCAAGGGGACACATAGGGAGGCAAGGGGACACATAGGGAGGCAAGGGGACACATAGGGAGGCAAGGGGACACATAGGGAGGCAAGGGGACACATAGGGAGGCAAGGGGACACATAGGGAGGCAAGGGGACAAATAGGGAGGCAAGGGGACACATAGGGAGGCAAGGGGACACATAGGGAGGCAAGGGGACACATAGGGAGGCAAGGGGACACATAGGGAGGCAAGGGGACACATAGGGAGGCAAGGGGACACATAGGGAGGCAAGGGGACACATAGGGAGGCAAGGGGACACATAGGGAGGCAAGGGGACACATAGGGAGGCAAGGGGACACATAGGGAGGCAAGGGGACACATAGGGAGGCAAGGGGACACATAGGGAGGCAAGGGGACACATAGGGAGGCAAGGGGACACATAGGGAGGCAAGGGGACACACAGGGAGGCAAGGGGACACATAGGGAGGCAAGGGGACACATAGGGAGGCAAGGGGACACATAGGGAGGCAAGGGGACACATAGGGAGGCAAGGGGACACATAGGGAGGCAAGGGGACACATAGGGAGGCAAGGGGACACATAGGGAGGCAAGGGGACACATAGGGAGGCAAGGGGACACATAGGGAGGCAAGGGGCACGTAGGAAGGAAAGGGGGACGGTTGTAAAGACAAGCAGCGCGAGTGTCATGCTTTGCAGAAGCAACTGGGGAGAAGAGGTGGTTCATAGCCTGCTCGTGTTGCTTGAAAGACATTGGTGGAGAGGAGGAAAGGAGAGGGGGGGAGGGTGGGGGAAGAAGGGGGAGAGGGGGGGGGAAGGTGGGAGGAAGGAGGACGTACGGGGAGGGAAGAGGCGGACGATGAAGAGGCTGAGGATGCCCACAGCAGCGGGGCCAATGCACGCCAGCAGCAGAAAGGCCGGGGGATTGGGTGCGAGCAGTGCAGAGTAGATCTGGGTACGAGAGGGGCGAGGGAGAAGGAGGAAGGAGTGGGCATGTTGAGAGGGAAAGAAGAAGAGCTGACAACAGGACGATGGAGAGGCTGAGAAGACCCACCCACAGCAGAGGGGCCAATGCAGGCCAGCGCACAAGGGCACGAGATGGCGCCTGAGAGGTCCATGTTGTCCACAACAATGACGGCCACCACGCCCTCTGAGTGTGGGAAGTTGGGCTGGCTAACCAGCCTTCCGCCACTCCCCTCCCCGCGAACCCCCACACCCTCCTCACTCCCCATCCTGCCCACTCTCTCCCGCCCACATCCCTGCTCATCCTACCCCCGAACCCTTGCCCCACCACAGTACTTGTGCAAAGGTGGCGCCATAGAGGTCCATGAAGCCCACCACGCCACCACGCCCCCCGAGTGTGGGAAGTTGAGCTGCCTAACCACCCTCCCCGCGCTCCCTCCGCCACCCACCCATCCCCACTCCTTCTCCTCACGATCCCTTCCCCCCATCCCCTTGTCCCTTCCAGCAGTACCTGAGCAAAGATGGCCCCTGAGAGGCCGATGAAGCCCACCACAATACCCGCCACCACGCCCCCCGAGTGGGGGAAGTTGAGCTGAGAGGAGACAAGGCCCGCTGTGATGAAGTAGATGGACCCGTTGGTGGCGCAACACAGCAGACACCACACCTGCAAGGACGGGCAGTGCGGTACAGTGCGGTGGGATGCAATGCAGTGCGTTCGATTGTGTTGTGCGGCAAGGGGGAATGTGAAGTTGAGCTGAGAGGAGACAAGGCCTGCCGTGATGAAGTAGATGGACCCGTTGGTGGTGCAGCACAGCAGACACCACACCTGCAGGGGCGGGGAGAGCGGTACAGTGCGGTAGAATGCGGTGGACTGTGGTGGAGTGCGGTGGAGCAGTGCTGTTAAGTGCGGTCTGTGGTGAGAGGGAATGTGAAGTTGAGCTGCGAAGAGACGAGGCCCGCCGTGATGAAGTAGATGGATTCGTTGGAATGCGAGATGGTTCATTATGACTTGGTGCGGTGCAGCTGACACGCCCTGTTGGGCAGCTGACAAGCCCTGTTGGGCAGCTGACAAGCCCTGTTGGGCAGCTGGCAAAGCCCATTGGGTATCTGACCTGCCAGAAGGGTGGCGCGGCTATGCGTTGACTGAGCACGAGCCACAGGCCTCCGTACCCCACGAAGCCCTGCACGGCGAGCGGAGAGGGGTCACACGGGGAGGGAAGGAATCACACAGGGCAGAGACTGTCGCACAGGACAGAGAGGGTCACACAAGGCAGAGAGGGGCAGAGGCACCTGGAGGCACGCAGGGAGGCGCTGGGGGGGGGGAAGAGGGGCAGATGTGTTGTGGACGAGACCACACAGATGAGCAGGCACGGACCACAAGTGAGACGAGACCTGCAGATCGTTGCCTGGGAGAGAGACAGGGCTATGAAGCGGTGCCTATGGCTGCCGATGCCACTGGCAATGGAAATGGCAACGGCAGTGGATGGGAACAGTGGCAAAGGCTACGGCTATGGCTGTAGCTATGGCAGAGTCAGAGGGAATGGTGATGGCAATGGCAATGATATGGCCATGGTAATGCAAATGTGATTGTGAGTATCAATGGCAATGTTATTGTCAGTGTCGGTGTGAATGTCAATATCATAATTAGTATTAATGTCAATGACATTGTCGGTGGCAGTGCCACTGTCCAGCGGACTCTTGAGCATCAATGCATTGGTGAACGGACCAGCAGAGTGCCGACAGCAATGACGAGCCATGGCGGCACCGTATCAGCGAGCAGCCATACGAGCAACACAGTAGCGGACTAACTGACCAGCAGAGTGCCGACAGCAATGACGAGCCATGGCGGCACCATGTCAGCGAGCAGTCCCGCCAGCAGCCCCATGTTGTCGCCCACGTCCTTGGCCACTCCCAGTGTTGTCACCGCCTGCTGATTGTACCCCAGCACCTCCTGCACGCACACATGGGAGAGAAACGCGAAGGGCAAGAGATTGCGTTTCACGTCTCAAAGCACGTCATCAACACACGTCCTTGGCCACCCCTAGTGTTGTCACCGCCTGCTGGTTGTACCCCAGCACCTCCTGCATGCGTTGGAGAGAACAGGTAAAGGGAAATAGTGTGTGTTTTACGTGACAGGGCATGCTTATGCCACGCCCTCGGCCACTCATAGTGTTGTGACCGCCTGCTGGTTGTACCCCAGCACCTCCTGCACGCATGGATGAGACACGCGAAGGGCAAGAGATTGCGTTTCACGTCTCAAAGCACGTCATCAGCGCACGTCTTTTGGCCAACCCCAGTGTCGTCACCGCCTGCTGGTTGGACCCCAGCGCTTCTGCACGCACACATGAGAGCAGGCTATCGAAAAAAGATTGTGTTTTATGTGACAGGTCACGCCTATGCCACGCCCAGAGTTGTCACCGCTTGCTGGTTGGACCCCAGCGCTTCTGCACGCACACATGAGAGCAGGCAACGTGATCACAACGTGCGTGCGTGGTTCCACACCCAGGCTGCTACTAGGCAGCGGTACACCAGCACCTTTGCAGCCTGGAAAGGCACGGGGGGAATGAGAGACTGCCATAAGCGGACTCTTTCTGTCAGAAAAACGGAGAGAAGGACAACAGCTAGCGGACGGAGAGTTTTGCAACAGCGGCGGCATTGCGACGTGCCTTGATGGTCGGCGAATATATGGCAAAGTTGTAACTGTTACCCGCGCACGCGAGTAACCACATGGAGCCGATGAGCGCGAGCCAGCGTCCCTTGGCGAAGCCATGCGATTGGCTTGCTTCTGCCATGATGGTCGACGAGTAGAACCGTCAATGCGTCGATGATATGCTGACGGCCGTCAATGCGTCGATGATCTGCTGACGGCGACCGGTTAGTTTGTGTCCTACTACTCTCTGTCACCGTGATTCGTACGGGATCAATATGGATACTCAGCCGCTTTTTGCATTCTGACGAAAGCGCGCCAGGACAACCAATCACTTATGCCGAGCTACTTCTACTACCTGAGCACCATCATGCGCTCAATGCAGGTGCCGCATTGTACTTGTTTGGACCCAGTGACACATGGATGGAAGAACTCATAGGATTGGCTTTCTCCTGACTACCTGCACCACGGCTTCGCCTGCCTTCTAGCAGCCGTGTTTTATGAATGCTCACTCACGGGCATTTTGGTGTACAACAAATGCAGGAGTGAGAGCTTGAATCCTGGAGAATGTCTTGGCGGGAAACCTTGTTGGCAAACATTCTCCAATGTTCTGATGTGCTGTGCCGCCGGGCACTCCGGATTGGTTGAATTCCAGTGAGACAGTACCCGCCAGGCTTCATGTTATTGGTGCAGCTGGGCACGTGCTGGAAGAGCAGCTCCCATTGTAATCGTTAGGAACAGTCTCGACACAGAAATTTAACAGATCAGAAGCGCGGAGCATGAATTGAGATCATCATAATGGAAATACAGATTAGTAACTAGCCAAGCAACTTACGGTACTTCGTGGTGCATTAGTGAAATGCAATCAGAAGCTTTCAGCATCATGAAAACACTAGTACTACCCTAGATTCATTCATCACGAAAAAAAAAAGGAAACTAGTAGTGGTACATATCAAGTTCAGCATTTGGCTCACTACTGCAGATCCTGCCACCCACTCTGCTGTCTTTCTCAATACCCAAACAGGCATTCCCCCTGTATCCACAATTCTCCCTATTGCCAACCTCCTTGGCATACCTACTCTTTCCCACATTAAATCATCCCAATACACCTTGCCATCCTCATTATCACATTCGTCCTCTTGCTCTCTTCCTTGAAGCTTGCCCTCCTTCAATGCTGCTCCCAGTCTCCTCCTCCCCTTCCCCTCCAGCATAACCATTCTCCAGTACTCCTGGCTCCCCAACACCACCCATCCCTCCCACCCCTGCAACTTCTCCCCCTCCAACCCCCCCAATCCCTCCCACCCCTCCCATCCCTCCCACTCCTCCCACTACACCCCCCCCTAATCCAACCGCCTCCCCCCCCATGCCCTGCTCCACGTGCATGGCTGGGTCCAGGGCAAACATAGGCGTCTGCAGTCCGTTCATCGCCGCGGCGGCTGTAAACTTCCCCACGGGCGCAATGGCTTGCTCCTTCCCCTTGCGCTTCTTCCGCCCGATGCGCACGGTGTCCATCTCCCCGTGCTTGCGCGCGAGGTTCTCGTAGTGCGCGCGCCACCGCGGCATGAGCTCCTCCCACCGCTGCCACTGCTTCCACGCGCCGGGGAACTTCAGAATCGTTATAAAATCGTCGTGCGACATTCGCTTCAAGCACGCCTGCTCCTCCTCCGTCAGGATAGCGGACACGGCGCGCACACCCAAGTGGACAATCATATACGCCGCGGCGGCGTATCCCTTCGCAGCCTCCATCGGGTCGTCCCACGTACCAAGCGTGTGTCGCTGGCCGTCGAAATCGATGGAGCTTTGAAACCGGCCGTACAGGACCTTCACGCCGTGGAGCCCGGTCACGAGATTTGGTCGCCGCTTCCCCGGAACGGAGTCCGTGGATTGATCGGAGGGGAGAGAATTGACAACCATGGGGAGCTTGTAGCGCTCCGCTGCTGCTCCATTTAGGACCTTTGATTTCTCGGCCTTGGGCACGGGATTTAGTGACAGGGTTAGCGAGCCGTCGATGTTGGCTTGGTGTGGCTGCAGCGCCTCGTTAGCAACTTGAGCCTCAAGCGCGTCGTTGGGCGGCTGAAACCCTTCGTTTGCATGAGGCTGAAGCGCCATGGTTTGTGAATGTAAGGAGGTTGTGTTGTGGTACCAAACGGCTCACGTTGGCGGGAAGTTTCTAAAAACGGTACCAAGAGGTTAACTACCACAAGGCGGAAACGAGAAGGTGGAACTCGGTAGCGGCAAGGGCAAGGTTCTCCTACACGGTTCGGAAGGGTGGGATGCTAGATCTGTCAGAAACAAGAGGTAGAAGGTGAACCTCGGTAATGGCGGAAGAGAAGGGGTTTCGGACAGGTTTGACACTGCTGCTTCTAGCGACGGGTGTGAGAAGGTGAAAGTCGGTGGTTGGGGAAGAGAGGGGGTTTCGTGTGCGGTGGAAAAGGCTAGATAGGCGTGCCCGGAATCAACGGATGCAGAGGAATCAGCGGAGGTGATAATCGACGGTTGTCGAGAGCGCAGTTGCGGTTGAGAAAGGTGCAGGTGGTTGCGTCGACACCTGTTGTTGGCAGCTATTGCAATGTCATGTCAGGTGGTGGAAGGGAGGGGTTTTGCATGCGATTCAGTCAGCCAGTAAGGAGCTCGGTTGTTACGGAAGAATGGGGGTTTCGTCTGTGGTTCAGCAAGGTGCGCTGTTGGGCAGGTGGTATGGGCAGGAGGTATGGAGACAAGACGAGCATTCCCAGACCTCGGCGATCCTGTACCATCTCAAGTTTGAACATCAGCGAGGGTACCCCTTCTAGCGGTCTATTGCTCAGGCATCCTGATCATTTTCGGGCCTTGTTCATGGCGCCGGATTGTTTGCGCAATCACAGTCCGAAGTGTATAGAGACAATATTGTTACGTTTCCCTCCCTGCAAATTCTCAAATATAAAAACAAATTCGCGCGGATTTTATTCCACATTTCTGGTTTTACAGGGACGTTTCTGTGATGACCCTGACATAAGCGGCGGATCTCAAGGGCTCCAATAGCAAAAATTACAGAGGGCTGGGTGGGCGGGAAGTAACAACTCTAGCACTAAACCCTGTCACTCATTACTCTCCTGACTGAGATTGTTTGCATGTACGAACTGTACAGCACGAATTTTCCAAATTCGGTATATTACAACATTCAGTTGAGATAGACGCTCTCAAAACAAAACTAGTGGGATATTCACATGTGAGGAGCTGGGCCTGCATGGGATCCTTCTTCGTGATGGCTTTCTGCGATACTTGATCAACTTCATCGTTCCAAGTCACATGGAATGCCTTCAACTCATGCCCTCAAGCAACTCAAGCCGCTGCCTCAGCATCAGCATCGTCAGCCTCCCGTGTAAACTGGGTAAGCGAGATCCCTAGGCGCTTCTGCTCCTGCACTGCTCGTTTACTGAACGCCACTGACCCTCCATTGATTGATTTGTAAGTGATAACTGCGCAACTGCACTTTTTGGCACAATGCGATGCCACATCGCCAGCCAGCATGTACTGCAAGAAACGGGGCATTTACGGAAGTGGGGCATAGAGGAAGAGGCAGGGAGAAGAATAAGTGTGTTGTTTGAGAACGCTTGACATGAATATGGCCTAGGGGCGTCCTGGGATCGATTGGCATTCACCAAGACGCGCCCTTCACTTGGCTACTTCACGCTTTGACATGGTTCGTGCACATTGACGCTTCACGCTTTCAAAATGCCATCCACGCTGACACATGTAGGGAAAATAATCACAAAACCCCTCAGCGAACAACAATGTGAGTCTCAAATTAGTAGATGAAGAGCAGGGAAGTACTTACATGTAAAGTTCGTTTCGCCTGTGATCCGAGAACAAGTAAATCAGCCTGCTCTGCCTCGGCGACCTTGGGAATAACCTTCCTCGGATCGCCCTCTTCCACCTTGACGCGTGCCGCGGGGAAGCCTAGTGAATGTATGGTCTTTGCGGCGACGTTGATTGTGTCGCGGATGAACGCATGGTGGGACTTAATCTCCGCCGCTGGATCCGCGAAGCCACTGTAGAGCGATGTAAGGTCTTTATCTGGCGAGACATGCAAGACGGGTTGGGGATGTGAATGCAGTGAGCGCATGTGAGGAATAGGGCAAGTGAAAAGTGGCAACAAAAGGAGCGCAGAGGAAGGGGGAACATGCACGGCATAGGGCATACCTGTTGGTCTGACATGAATTACTATCAATTTGTCTTGATCTGAGAGTATCGACTTCAGAACGAACAGAAGAGCCGCGTCGCTCGCGTCGCTCCCGTTAACGGCTACCATGATCGTTCTGGGCTGCGGCCCGGAGTCGGGCTGCTGCGATTCTTCCACCATCGCTGCGGCGTCGCGGTGTTAAAGCAGGCGCGGGAACCACTAGAAAAGAGGTGCCGTAGTTTTCCAGGCAGGCGCGGGGACCACTACGAGTGGGGGTCGCAGTAGAGCGCTGGGAGCACTGCTCAACTAGCCTGGCAGCCAAGCTGAGAGAGAGACGGGCGATTCCGTGCTTCCGCACTGCTGACGTGGCGATCTCAGGCCGCAATTGCAAGAACACCAGACACTAGAGCATCTGCTTGTGGGGAAGAGATTCTCCTTTTGATTTCAAAGCCCGGTCGAGGAGCGTTAGCTTGTGGGGCAAAGCAGTGATACTAGAGGAGGAGAATATTTCTACATCAAGAATCGTGAGTGAGGTGCGCTCGGGATAGCCAGCTTCGACAGAAGTATTTCTACGAAGGAAGCGCTGGGACAAGGGCGCTAATACGGCGCTGCAGGTATTTGAGCTCGTTTCTCGCAGGTGCGGCTCAGAGAGTGTGTGCGTGGCAGTAGGTAAGGCACCACAGTGGTTAGCAGAGGGAAAGTTCTCCCTGTTGAGAAACGCCGGGTTTCAACGCAGCGTACGTGTCTGAACATATGTAACGCCTAACGAGTCGTGTGTAATCCATACGGAGCGCCTTTTAGTAGCCGGAATCGTTAGAAAAGGGGGCAACCCGTTCACGCACTCAAGCATCTGACGCCGTTCAGCAAAATCGCCAGCCATGCTCCACTGTTGGCCTGCGCTAGGTCGAACAAAGCCGAGAGATCAAAAAAATATCACGCGTGATGATGATACGCCGAGGTGGCATGAGGAGAAACAAGCACTCAAGTGATCCGAGGCGGACCCGTCCAGCTCCAACCGCCGAGGTCTGGTGACTTTCGTTCCGTCCCCTCCCCTTCCTCGCAGGTCCCACGGACGGCCACACACGACACGAGGCCCAGAAAACTGGCGTAGGTGCATGTCTGTGGCGGCGTGACCTGGGCAGGGCTGGTCCTGGGGACGGTAGTGCCAGGCCACACAGGCTGCTAGATAAGTGTCACATCACATGTCTCGCTGGGAAAAATGGCGTAGTCACAATCATCTTCTCTTCGTACTACCGCAAGGCTTGCTGGTGGCTGACGGGGGCTTTCTGTCATGTCGACAGGTATGAAGTGGTGATGTGGGGTGGTGGTGGGGTGGTGGAGGATTCGTGGTGGTGCTGGGGGAGGGTGGGTGTGGTGAGGTGAACTTGTGGGACAATTTGGAGGCCCAGCTACACCTGGTTGGTGGTTCTCCGTCACGGCTCAGCTCGCCACGAATGGGACCTTGAATCGTGGGCAGGGTGAGGTAGGAACGAATCGTGGTGTATTGACATTTGCGCTTGTAGTTGAGGGGCTGCGCAGCGCCTGTGCCTGCGAGGGAGGGAAGGCGGGGATTTCGAGGGGGAATGGGGAGGGTTGAGCGGGTCTGGGAAGGACAGGGGATGCCAGGCGGGGACTTGTAAATGAAATTGCACTATTGATATATGCGCTTGCAGAATACCGTCCTCTAGGATCTGGAAGAATGAAAGACTACCTGAAATGTAATGTCAAATTTGTAAGGATTTCCAAATCCTTACTGTAGCACTAATTAGCGAGTACAACCCCGAGGGCCACGCGACAATCCAGTTCGGCCTATTTTGTCGGTCAAGCCACCCCCAAGTCGCCTCTGCACAAATCGCAACCCTTTCGAGCCATCTTCGCCCGACCTTCCCACCTAGCTATGAAGTGTCATATTTAGCCTCGTCATTTTCATTGTAAACCCATCCTGAGCACTCTGTAAGCCCATTCATTGTTGCGATCAGAAGGTGATCGCTGCCAGGATCTTCTCAGGAAGGTTCGCACACAGCTAGGTAGTTGGTGGTGGGCCCTTGATCTCAATAACAGAGTGGATGTAAAATGTTTGAGATAATGAAAACATGCGAACACAAGGGTATAAATATGAGTACAGGGGAATTCGAATCGACCTAGCTAGCCATGTACTCTAAGAGGTACATTCCCTTATTCAAATTCATCCCCAACCGTGCGGCGCGTACAGTTACGAAAAAATGTTCCCGCCGATTCCTCTTGCCTGCAGCTGCCCGATGCCGTCTGCTCCGACGGTCCAGATCCACCCCAACCGTCTGACGCTTCGAGTCAGTTCCGACTCCTCGTATTCGTTCTCGATACTGCATGCTTCCTTAGCCGCGGTTAGGAGTACACAGTAATGTTCCATTCATTACTATTCGTAACATCCCCCTTCACTGCTGGCCGTAGCTCGACTTGACCTGCTTGACCACTCCGCTTTGTTCGGAGCAGTGCTGGTACTGTTGTCGTGGCAGTCGCTTCGTGAGAAAGTCTGCTGCCATGTCACCGGTCGGGCAATAGGTCAAGTCAACCTTGCCTTTGTCCACTTCGTCCTTGACGAAGAAATACCGCAGCGCAATGTGTTTGGTGCGGTTGACGAAGCCGGGCTTGTTCGCGATGCGGATCGCGCTTTGGTTGTCGCAGTGCAGGCGAAAGGTGGGCGAAACTAGGATTTTCGCCTCCTGCAGGAGTTCTTGCAGGTAAAGGCCTTCGCGAACTGCTGACGTTGCTGCGATGAATTCCGCTTCGGCTGACGACAGGGCAACCAGCTCCTGTTTCTGCGAGTTCCAGGAGATTGGTCCCGTTGGTTCGAGTCGGAACAGAAAACCAGTCCTGGACCGTCGATTGTCAGGATCTGCTGCGTGATCGGCGTCCACGTAGCCGATGAGGTTAAATGATGGGGTGGGCACTGTTGAGTAGCACAGCCCGATCTTAGGCGTTGAAATGAAGAACTGTAAGGCGCGCTGCAGGTCCAGGAGATTCTCAGCCGTTGGTTTGCGAGAATACTGGGCTAACAGACTTGCGATGTAGGACAGATCGGGCCTCTATGTGACAGAGGCGAAGAGCAGGCATCCCAACTGCTGCTGGTAAGTCTGAGTTTCAGCTGGGGATATGGCTTTGTTGTCAGGTTTGTGGTTTGGTCCGGGAGTTCGGTAGGGAGTGGAGAGTGGTGCAGGGGAGATGTTGAAGCGCTTTCCAAGCTCCTCTGCATACCGTAATCCCCCGTATATAAGACCCTAGGGTCTTATGATAATCACCCCTAAATAGGCTGGGGGGTATAATTACATGGTGTATTTTTTAGAAGACCCGGGTCTGTTCATATTGACATTTATAAGAATGTAGTTTTGGAGCTCAAAATAGTGATTTGGAAGTGCTCCGTTTCTAGCTCCTGCCAAATATACTCGAATTGGTCTCCACACGGGCCGAACCCACGTCATCACGAACCCTATCTGGGAGCCTCCTCCCATTGGCCACCAACACCACTTGATGTCCATTAGGGTGGTAATGTGGGTGTGCATGTGTGTTCATGGGTGCGATTTGTGTTAATCAACACTAATTTGACCATTTTCAATTCCATCTTTGTAAAATCCGCACTTCTCTAGGATGTGGGGGGGGGGGTCTTATAATGTTAGGGGCCATTTGGGGGGGTATAACTCAGATGTACACGAATAGAGTACCCGGTGCCGTATTATAGACCCGGGGGTCTACAACTGGGGGGGGTCCTATATACGGGGGATTACGGTACTTGGCCGCTGAGAGATGAATGGCTTCTGGCGCGTAGGAGATGTTCAGGCCTAAGAATTGCTTCACCTCGTAGTTGCAAGTGATATCGACGCGCCCCGCCGGACTCCTCTCGAACTGCTTCAGTAGTTCGTTGCTTGAACCTGTGTAAAGCTGATCGTCGACGTAGACCATGAGCAAAATGTATTCGCCCCTGAAATCACGGCGGTACATCCCAGGATCGTGCGGCATTGGCTTGAACCCGATTTCGAGCAGAATGTTGTGCAGATACTGCTGCCAGAGCCTCGGTGCTTGTTTTATCTCGTAGAGGGACTTGCGCAGCTGGCATACGCGTGAATCCCCTTCACCGTATGTATACGGCTGCTCCACGTAAATCACGGCGTCTACTAGCGCGTACAGGAACGCGTTCTTCACGTCGATTTGGCGCAGGGGCAGGTGTCTAGCAGCTGCGATGGCGAGCAGGATTCGGACGGAGGTGTGGCGGCTGACTGGCGCAAACGTCTGATCGAAGTCGATGCCGTGCCTCTGGTCGTAGCCGTGCACCACCCACCGTGCCTTGAAGCGCTCGATCGTTCCGTCAGCTGCGGTCTTCACGCGGAAGACCCATTTCCCGAGAGGACCCTCGCGCCTTTGATTGTTGCACGGTCGACTAACACCCAGGTGTCTCGGGATTCGAGCGCCTTGATTTCCGCATCCATTGCTTCACGCCACTCCTTGCTGTGTGGTCCAGTGAGAGCTTGGCGCGGGTTTCGTGGCTCAATGATACGTAGTGCCTTTGAGGTTGCGGTTTGAAGTCTGAGCAGCTGCAGCCCAGAGACGGTGCTGTCGTGGCGATGCTGCGGGACGACTTCCTGTACGTCATCGTCATCGCTCTCTGGCTCAGGTGGTGCTGGTTTCGCTGCGCTTCTGCCGCTTCCGCCCGTTCCGCCCATTCCTCCTTCTGAGGAATCGTCGTCATCGTCGTCGCTGTTGTGACGGCCTCCCCTTGTGAACTCGCCCCTGGTGTCCTGTTCCAGGATTGCTGCAGCGGCTTCGTCCTCGGGCGTTGCGTAGCTGTGTCCGTCATTTGCGTAAACACGGTTTGCGTTAGTCTATTCGTCGTGGCGGAACTGCTCGAGGAAGAGGCGTTCGTAGAAGATTACGTCGCGGGCATGGGCGGTCTTCTGACTGAGCAGGTCCAGCACGATCCATGCCTTGTGCTCGTGGCTGATGCCGAGGTGAATGCCCCATCGCGCGCGGCTGGCAAATTTGCCGATGGTTGATGTCGGCGGGCGGTATTGCACCATGCACCCCCACACGCGGAGCATGGATGTGTCCCCCTTAGTCCCGGTCCACTTGACGTGCGGGGACAAGTTCCCGGTGATGGCGGTGGTTGATAGCAGGTTGTGCACCCGCACGGCGTGGTGCATCGCGTAGGTCCAGTAGATCGGCGGCAGCTTCGATTGCTTCATCAGCGCCCGCACCTTCGTCATGAGCGTGCGATTCGTCCGCTCTGCTACGCCCTGCTGCTGGTTCGCGTAGGGGAGGGAAATGTGGTGTTCGATCCCCTTTTGCGCCAGATAATCCTGCATCTCCTTGCTTCTGAATTCTGCTGCGCCATCAGATTGCCAGATTTTTAGCTTCTCCCCAGACTGCCGCTGCGCGTGCGCCAGCCAGAGGCGAAATATCTCGTAAGCTCTACTGCGCGATTCCACGTTCACAACCCACACATAGCACGTTCCAGCATCAGCGAAGGTGAGTGTGTACATTTCGTCGTTGACTCCGCAGTGCCCCACGTTCAGGAAGTCACTGTACACCTTGTGCAGCTTGGGGTAGCGATTTGTTCCAGGTTCGAGTAGCGGGAACGGTTGGTGGCTCAGCGCAGCTTCGGGGCAGACGGTGCAGTTGCGCGGATGTGTCGCGCCTCTCACTTCGGAGCCATCTGGGCGCAGGAGCGCTCCAGGAGCGAAGACGCCTGCGTCGATGCAGTTTTTCAGTGTCGCGCAGGAAGG